CAGACATTGCAGGAAATGTCTCTCTTTGCCATAAAGCAGCTGGTCCTGTTTGTTTGGGGAGGTTTTACCAGCCCTGCAGGTCCAGCGAATGAAGTGTTTCCCTGCGTGTTGCGCTGATCTGCTGTAAGAGGCAATGATGAAGGGGTGAGAGTGTGTGTGAGAAACTGAATCCTCCCACTAAACCCTGCCATTCAAACACTAATTAGTATTGATACAAGTGCACGCCTGGAGTGTCTCACTCACGGGAAAAGAGATCACCTTTCAGAGGGAAAAGAAGCTGATGTTGACAAATTATGCAGCATCTTTTCCAGTGCAATTAAAGCAGTCTGACAGCCAAAACTGTTGCTGTACAAACATCATTCCAGCCACTTAGAGATACTGATGCCGGTCAGAAAGTAATAGAGCATACGAGAGCTGACATTTTCCACCATATAAATATCTCACCAGAATAAGTTTCCATTAACAGATGTCGCATGTGTTTTTGATCCAGTGATGCAGACATGACTCTCCTCTGGACACTGCTACTGAAAAGTATGATTCCTGAACAAATGATTCATTCGCTTAATTTTAATTATTCAAAAACACACAGCACAACCAGTGTAGTCCTATTCCCAAATTATGACTTTTTTTTTTTTTTAAAAGCCAGCATTCTCCACCATAAAAATTATCTCACCAGAATAAGTTTCCAATAACAGATGTCTGTCACATGTGTTTTGATCCAGTGACGCAGTGAACTTTTGAATTATAATACGCTTAAAGTACGATTCCTGAACGAATGATTCATCCGGTTGATTTGAATTATTCAAAAACACACAACAGCACAACCAGTGTAGTCCTATTCCCGAACACATGACTCTGATGAAACAGTTATGGTGAATCAAACGCATACAGTTTAGTCTGAATCTTTGTCAAATGACTCTTATGAATCAGTTCTTTTTAGTGAATCAAAAACATACAGCCCAGTGCCGATTCATGAATCAGTGATGAGTCGCTACTTTTTAGTGTGAATTTATCAACAGGCCAACAGCACACAAATGCGTTGTACTCAAGGCTCATGGGAGATTTAGATCATTAACTCCTGGTTGTTCATGACAATGTATTGTTAAAGTGGTGATGAACTGAGAAATCAAATTTTCCTTGAGCTTTTGACATCTAAGAGGTCATCATATTATAAGAATATCCTGTAAGTTGCAGAACTGAAAACGTCCTTGTTAGTCCAATAAAAGCTTTTATTGACACCAGGCTCAGCAAACGACTCGTTTTTCAAAGTGGGGAACTACGTTCAACTCATTATAATATGCAAAACTGTTATCCACTCACAGCAGTGGGCGTTTACTTCCAAGTCTTCAATGCGAGACGCCCATAAAAACCGAGCGTTTTTGAGCCAGGCTCAAAACTAGGGTAGAAAATAGCCAATTACTTATTCATTTTGATGTTTTTGAATGTAAAAACCAAGCGAACGTCGTAAGTTGACCTCAGACAACAATATAAAAAAAAAATAAAAAGCCAGTTCATGACCCCTTTAAAGAGATTGGAACATACCCTTTTATAAAAACAGAACGCATGAAATATGTAACCATAGTTTTGTTTTAGTGTGATTAGTCTTTAAAATGTCTGTAAACACACCTTCAATACGATATTATTGCAACGTTGTGTTCATGCAGTGGCTTTTTTTTTCCTCAAATATTTCTTTCTTGAAAGTATCGATAGAATCGGTAATGAACTGTTACGGAATCAGAACCAGAATCGTTGAACATAAGCTTGTCTTTGTCCATCTTTCTCTCTCTCACTCTCTCTCTCTCTCTCTCTCTCTTACTCTCTGGCTTGCAAAAAGCATTGCTCCTCTAAAAGCTTGATAAGGAGCTTGTTGCCTCCTCGGAACCGCCAGATAAGCAGGAGGGAACAGACTCTGCTCTGGCGCACTTCACCGGCGTGCAACCATCAAAGTCACATGGAGCTGCACTGGGACCGTTTTGTCATAAAATGTGGAAATGGCAGAGGACAGAATGTTGTGGAGGCCTGCCGTCTGTCTGTGATGTATTCTCCATGTGCATTCGGATGCGGGTCACGTCAGTGTGCCCTTTCACTGCAGACCTGTCAGTCAACACTGTATTCCTGAGTGGATGGCAGCTCTGACGTGCCATCTGCGCGCAAGCAGGGCCGAGCAAATAGAGATGAGTGATGTAACTTCGGTGGAGTGGAATTAGACAAATAAGAACAAGGGTCAAACAAAGGACTTGAATCTCCAGCGAGGCCGGCCTTCAAATTCCTGTAAAATTACAAATTGAATTTAGCTATATTACGAGAGGCTTTCTATCTAGGGTGCACTAATTAGTCAGAGATCAGCTGTTGGCCAATACATATAACACCAGGTTTTGTGTGTTTAGCTCTTCGCGGTGATGATTATCTCATTCCCGACTGTGAGGGTTATTTTCTCCGAGCTCAAACTGTGTGTGTGTGGCCATTACAGGGCATGGAAGAAAAATATGCAGCAGCATTTTGTGGTAATTTGCTCCCGGGGTTCATCGGTTCACCTGATTACTCTACATTGATTTGCTCTCCTAGATGATCAATACCTATTTTAAGGTCTTTTTTTTTTTTTAAGCGATGGGGGATTTGAAAAATATCCCCCTAAATAGAGAGCATTATCTCTCTCTCTCTGGTTCTCACTCGCTTCCTTTTTTACTCTGTGTTTCAGAAGAAAATATCTATGCCATTACTTAACTAATATCCTAAACAGCTTTCAGATCCCTTAGTGAGTGAACATGACTGGCATGACTTGCAGATATGCTGTCGGGGATCAATTTTTTGCTGTCATTTGTCACCTTATGCAAGCGATTAGCATAGACGAAGCTGCGTGATATTAGCGACGGGAGCACAGGTGCAGTGTGGGAGTGACCAGGATCTGGAGCTGAATGATTGCTTAATGCACCATGTCATAACATCTGAACTAGAAGTTAAACTAACAGAAATCCAGTTTTCCATAACATTGACCTGTTAATGGAAACAAAACAATACAGTTAGATGAAACGTAAAAACCTAGTGAACGTAGGCAGGGGTGTCCAAACTTCGCAGGACAGGAGCAGGGTCGGACACACCTAAGTTAAGGCGTGTTGAACTTGATTTCTGTTGGACCTCTTTGTTGATCCTGGAACAAGATTAAAAATAAAAAAAATAAAAAAAATAGAATGAAAAGAATGAATAAATGAACATTACAATCGTTTATGTCAAGTTTTGGCTTACAACCAGGGTTAGATGCTTCTACATCAGTGTAACATCCCAACGCTATCTCACGACCAATTCGTCCGAATTTGACGAGTGATTAAAAGATGGCTAATTCGTACAAATTCGTACGACCTCACTCGTACGAATTTGTACGATTTGTCTAAACCCACGTGATGGGTAGGTTTAGGGGCGGGGTCAGGGGTAGGTCATTCGTACGAATTCATACGAATTGGGCAACTCGTCAAATATGTACGTTTTAGCAAAAATCGGACTAATTCGTACGAGTGAGGTCGTACGAATTGTTACGAATTAGCCATCTTTTAATCACTCGTCAAATTCGGACGAATTGGTCGTGAGATCGGGTTGAACATCCCACTGATGTTAGGGATAAGTTGTGGTAGGGTTGGGTTTAGGGGTGGGGATGTATTAGGAATACATTTTCGGACAGAAATGTTGTTCCAGGATCAACAAAATATGTTGATCCAGGAACATGTCTTACTTGGCAAAATCATGGTGCATCATAGACACTCCATTTGCGTAAACTATTTTATTTATTTATTTATATATTTATTTACATATTTATTTATTTATTTATTTATTTATTTCATTTTAGTTTATTTTAGTTTATTTTAGTTTGTTTATTAATTATGTCCAGATTATTTAAATTAATTTAATTTAATTTAATTTAATTTAATTTTATTTTATTTTATTTTATTTTATTTTATTTTATTTTATTTTATTTTATTTTATTTTATTTTATTTTACTGTTCAGATCTTCTAACTACAGAAAAGTCTCAATAAAATAGCTCATTTAAATAAAGATTCATCAAAAGGATTCAGGATATCATCTTTTTGTCCTACACTACAGCAGCACTTTCTGCTCAGGCCGTATCAGCTCAGAGAGTAGCTCAATAGATTTGACAGGTGAACAGTAAAAGTGTCCGAATGGAGATAGCGAGCTGCCAGGAGCGAGGAGTATATACACAGAGGTGCTCACCCAGGTTGGCGTAACTTCTGTGTGTTAGTATGACGGAGAGCTTGACTGGATGATGGAGACAGCAGCAGCTTTCATGGCGTGACGGTGCTGATGCAGTCAGTCTTTAGGGAGCAGGGAACAGCTGAGACTGCCAGTCTGTTTTAGGCACAAATTAAACTCAATCCACACACTCAGAAAGTACATCTCCCTTGTGAGCTTTGATTTAATCCTTCAAGTAACCATCGGAGATGTTCTCCCAAAGGTGTCCGTGTGTGTGCGTCTTACAGTCACGTCACATTTAAGCAGTCAGGTTAAGTTATTCTGTTTGCCCATTAGAGAGTCAAACAGCCATGGTCGAACAGCTTTTCCCGAGGTGTTTGACATGATAAATCTGTTTACTCACCTAATTGAGAGAGGGTGAGACAGTGAGTGAGATATTAGCTGATCAGATTAACGCTGATTTTGAATGATCCTTGTTTGCTCATGTGAATCTGTAAACAGTGGTAATCCTAAAACCAACCATTCCATGTTTCCATAGGACACAATAATCCATGTAATGACATTTGTCCATCCAAAAGCAATAATGCTAATGTATCGAGGCTTAGCCCATGCTCAGACTAGTAAATCCCTAGGATCATTGACTATTCATTAAGGTCTACTCAATATTGTTTTCCCCTAATTAAAAGTGTTACACACAAGGAAACGTGTTTAAAAGCATAGTGTGCATGGTTATTTACTAAGCAATAAGCATGGGCAATTGTGTTGTTTTATTCTTTTGAGTTATCTCTCTCTGTTTCAGGTTTGCAGTCGAAGCTGAGGATGGCAGGAGATTCTCGCGTCCACATGGACCACGACATGGAGATAGGAGTGACTCCGAGAGAGGTCAGCCGGCCCCAATATCACTGGCAGCTTCAGTAGTGGTGTAAAATGAGCATCTACTGTAGTAGATCACCCAGCCTACATGCACGCAAACCATACAACTATGCATATTATACAATCAAAATAAGAGGAATGTTTATGTATTTACGTTTTCAGTATATTTGAATCATTAATAAATCAAAAGACCTTGGCCTTCGAATACGTTTTATTTTTTTATTAATAATGTGGGAGGCTGAAAAACACTGGGAACTAAATAATGGGTCAAGGACGTAATTAACTATAAAATCCAGGCAACAGTTGTCAACAATCTGCATTGTGTGCTGTTCTTACATTATAATTGTCAGGCCATTGCATGGTCATTATACTATGTTATGGCTATTAAATAAAATAGCTGGTTACACATTATCTGTGTAATAATCTAAATATATACATATTTTATATTTTTATAAAGTTCTGTATGTTGTGTGGATATTGTTATGAATTTAAATAATTTGTTTAAATGTATAATAATTAATGCATATTTTTATATTTATCATATAATCTATATAATTAATGCATAGTTCATTTATGACTTTAAAATGAATACTGAATGTAATATCTCTCTATCTTGAAGTACAAAGTTGGAGGCACACCAAATACTAAAAATTGGCTCTTGTTGTAGATATTTATTTTGCGATGTTTACAAAAAGTGTCTGTTTTATATATTTTTTTTATTTTTTGCCCAAGATCTGGCTTTGTTTTACAGAAAATGGAGGGCCGCAGGTGTTTGTGCAGCATGAGGTCTCTGTTTGTGCCAGTCTTTTTCATAAGCACTTTAAGGCTTGCCTACAGTATAATTGGCTGCCACCAGCTTAACATGATTCCACATTTCAATTAACAAACAAGTACAATCTTCAACAAATGGAGAGACAATGTGCCAAAGCGTCCTTGTCTCATGTGGAGGACACTGTGCTGTTGAATTGGGAGGGAGGCAAGGATTCTTATCTGGGCTTGCCAGTGTCCCATAGGGAAGAGGAAGGCAATGGGGGAAGTGTCCCATTGAGCTGTCATAGAACAAAAAATTAAAAAAATGGACTGGGGCCAAAGATAGAGAGCAAAAGAGAGTCATGGGGATGAAAAGAGCAGCACTAGAAAAAAGAAAAAGCCACCAGTGCTTTTACAATGTTGCAGTAATCTGCATGTGCCGTATGTGCCGAGACGTACTGTGAAAATGTCATGACAGTAGCAAAGATCAGAGCACTTACGTTGTTAGGAAGGAACAGCGGGAACGTACCTCTGCTTGATGTTGGCAACTATGTGATCCATGGCTGTCATTGCCTGGCTTATAGCAGCTCAGTGAAGAGATAGGCTGAGGCAGATGGGAGCCATGTTGACCTGGCATGCAAAATATGCTACGTAGATGATTCTGGTGGGACTAGATTGCAACACCATATGACGTGTTGGAAGCATCACATCCTGCATGTATTATTCCTCAACAAACCAATGGTCTCCCTAGAACTCCCTAACAGTGATGCTTAATATAGGTCTACAGGTTCAGACTTGCTGATATTGTAGCCGTTTTATCATCATCATCATCATCATTATTTTGAATCAGTTGCTTACTCTGGAAGGAAAAGCTCAGCAAAGATTTCTATGTCACATTGATCCTGTTACCCAAGAATGAATTTGTTACTTTTTCTCTCTCTTACAGCAGGTGAAGAAACTCCCCAAGCACCTGAGGGAATCACAAATCCCTACGGATCGCACCCACCTCATCTCAGATCCTGTTAAGAAACCCCGCCAGCGCTATGTACAGAAAGACGGCAAGTGCAATGTCCATCATGGAAACGTTCAAGAGACATATCGCTATCTCAGCGACCTCTTCACAACACTGGTTGACTTACGTTGGCGCCTCAGTTTCTTTATTTTCACCTTGGTCTATGTGGTCAACTGGCTCTTCTTTGGGTTTTTGTGGTGGCTTATCGCGCTCATACGAGGAGATCTCCTACACGGCGATGAGGAGGGCTGGACCCCATGTGTGGAAAACCTCAACAGCTTTGTCTCGGCTTTCCTCTTTTCCATTGAAACTGAGACCACCATTGGCTACGGCTACCGTGTCATCACGGAGAAGTGCCCAGAAGGGATCATACTTCTACTGATACAGGCCATCTTGGGGTCCATTGTCAACGCCATGATGGTGGGCTGCATGTTCGTAAAGATCTCGCAACCCAAGAACCGAGCAGAGACGCTGATGTTCTCCCACAAGGCCGTGATATCTGTGAGGGACAACAAGATGTGCCTGATGTTTAGAGTGGGTGACCTGAGGAATTCCCACATTGTGGAAGCGTCAATCCGTGCCAAACTTATTCGTTCGCAGCAGACCAAGGAGGGCGAGTTCATTCCGCTCAACCAGACGGACATCAACATTGGCTTTGACACAGGAGACGATCGCCTCTTCCTGGTGTCGCCTCTCATTATCTCACACGAGATCAATGAGAAGAGTCCTTTCTGGGAGATGTCCCGGGCTCAGATAGAAAAGGAAGAGTTTGAGATTGTCGTCATCTTGGAGGGCATGGTCGAAGCTACAGGTATGTTCTCCTTGACATCAAGCAATTCAACTCTTGACCTGTAAGTGTCATAGTCTCCATGAGTTAGAAATGACAGAAATAAAGCTTTGCATTAACCCCCTCTATACTATCAGTCATTTGGAATGGCTTCAAGGAGCAAGTTGTGCATTAACTGCCAAGCTCTGCAGTTGACCTCAATGAATTTTCCATTATTATTTTTTTGTGGCAAGCGAGGAACTTAAAGGTCAGTCATTTAAATATACAAAACTGCTCCGGCATTATTCATTTGCTGACAGTGCTGAGTCATCCCTTCCATAAGTATGCTGACTACACGAAATAACATTTAAAAACTGACAAGAAGATAAATGTTTTGATATTGATGCTGTGTTTCCGACACATGAGTTGGGTTGGGTCTGAGAGCCTCTTGTTGTCTGGCTAGCCATGTCCTTGCAAACCTGTCCAGGCTGGAAAGAGGTGAAAGGTGATGAAAGTACTCCGGGTATGTTCCACTCTGCTGGAGGGGATCCTTTGTAAAGCTTATTGGAGCAAAAAAAAGTTGCTTTTTCCACTCTTCATTTTAATTAACATTGTTCCAGTTCTTAGGTCAGTGAAACTCAATAACGGTCAGGCAGTTCAATGAGGAAACTGCTTTTAAAATGTCTTTGAGAGCACAGTATTATACCTTAAGACATCAGTAGGCTACATTCAGACTGCAGGCAAAAGTGGCCCAAATCTGATTTTTTTGCTCAGATCTGATTTTTTTTTTTTATAACAGTGAGAACAGCGCAAAACTTGTGGAATATGATCTTTTCGATTCTGATTTGGGCCACTTCTATATGTGGTCTTACAGCATGATCTCATGAAATATGCTCTCTATGCTGTAGCACGCATTGTATTTATCGTGCAATTTGTACGTGAAAATTACTTTTTACGTGCATATGATACGCAGTTTTGCACTTTATGGCGTGTAATTTATACACTTTATACCCCACACCATTAATCCTACCCAAGGTGTTTACAATGCATATCATATGCACGTAAAAAAAACTATTTTTCGTGTATAAATTGCACGATAAATACAACGCATGCTATAGAGACGCATTTCATGAGATCGGGTTGGGTCCTAAATCAGATGTAGGTCGGATGTTTTGCAATGCGACCTCAGTCATATCGGAATTCATGCAACTTTTACGTCACTCTAGATCGACATTTGTCACAATTCTGCGCTGATGGGATGGTGAGCTGTTATACCAACACATTCTCATCCTTTGGCGTCATATAGGTGACGCCATATGACATTTCGTCGAAATCTTACGCACATGGCATCCTTTAGCGTCAATATAACACGCACTGTTATGGGTAGGTTTAGGTCTGGGGTAGGGTTACGGTTATGACGCCTTGGGATCGCCTGCGCACAAATTCGCTGGCTTCTGCGGCACATAACCTTATAAATAAACACGTAAATGCTGACTTCAGTTACCTCCATATTTACTTCCGTTTGACAGTGTGCTGCGTGCCGTTGTCGTTCTTTTGTTCATGCGGTTCAGTTCACGACCGTAACCAATTAACACTCGAATCTGATATTGGCCACATTTAAAAGATAATGTGAACAGCCAAACAAACAAACAAAAAAATCGGATCTGAACAATAAATCAGGACTGAGCATTAAGGCTTGCAGTGTTGCACGTAGCCTAAAACACACTACACAACAAAGAGCCCAGGGTGTTGTGGCATTCAGATTGATTATTAATAATGCTATTAATGGGGAGGTACTGTAGCAGTCCTGAGACAGTTTGTTCAATTTTCAGGGCCATCTAATTTTTCCATTACTTAAAAAATGTGTCATAGTCTGCTTAACGCAATCAATGTAATATTATTTAGGAACAGTCTGTACTAGGTTAAGCAATACCAGTTTAATACCTGGGCTTTAGCAGCAAACATATGCCATCTGAATATATGAAAGTGGATGGATTTATCTAGAGATCTCATTCTCAGCTACTTGGTTAACCTTGCAGAACACTGTGTGCAATATTGATTTGAGAAGATTTCTTTATTCTTGGGGCTGTTTGGGGAATAAAGAGGCCTGTATTGTCTAATTGCAGATTCATTCCCAGGCTGAAACATTTCCCATGGTTTATCAGATATATCAGGTGAATGTTTGCAATTCAAATTACTTATTGGGCCTTTGTCCAAAAAGAACTTACACTGCTAATCTAAATCCAATTTATTATACATGCTTCCCCGTGAAGGCATCCAATTTTTTGCTTGTTTTGCAGTGAATACCAATGAGGATTCAGCAAAGAAAAGGTGAAAAGCATTGTATGATTTCATGCATTCTTAATGCAAAAATTTGCATGTTTGGAGGTTTTTATTCCACAAACATGCAATTCTTATTGATTGATTTATCCAAGGATCTAATGGGAAGAATTTAATCTTACACTAACCTTGCTCTGGGCCCTAGACGCCATATGACATATCAGCAGTCTCCTCAACCTTCCTGTCACTATGAAATGTTTCCCACTTTCCACTGTAGAGATGTGCCTACGTCAGCGCATGTCAATGGCCATGTGCTATGATGTCTTTGATCTCCTGAAGTCTGTGTAAATTACGCCTTTGACAGATCACCAGGTATAGATCAGAGTGCTGTTGGCCAGGATAAGCCTATACAAATAGGCTCGCTGACCAGATCGAAGTCATTGCTAATGAGGGATGATGGCTTCCTTTAGATGTGCAGTACAGAGAGCTAATGACCTGGTGTGTGTAATAAGGTCACAAACATCCAGGTGTCTGATTTGTCAAATTTAGCAATGCTTTAATTCAGCCCTGGCATGTGTCAGAGATGATGGATAGCCGCTTTGGTCTAGTCTATTATTTTTCCAGTAGTGAGGGTCAGGAGTTCTATAGGGAGTCTCTCGAGTACTCCTTGCAATTTGCATGAACGTGACGAGACTGTAATGATGGTTAGTCAGATGTAATTTGCATCATATAATTGTTGCTACATAAGCAGTTTTCGTTGTAGAAATGTGCTTGATCCTGAACGATACGATCGGGAACAACAGCTTTTCCCTAATGAAAGATTCATCACACTGCAGAACAAGACATCCAAACATATTTGAGACACTCTGTTCCAAAAGCTATAGTGAGCTGACTACATAGGCAGCAGTTTAAAGGATTAGTTCATTTCAGAATACAAATTTCCTGATCATTTACTCACCCCCATTTCATCCAAGATGTTCATGTCTTTCTTTCTTCAGTCGAAAAGAAATGAAGGTTTTTGAGGAAAACATTCTAGGATTTTTGTCCATATAATGGACTTCAGTGGTTATTAACTGATTGAAGGTCCAGATGTGAGTTCCAGTGCAGCTTCAAAGTCTCGACACGATCCCAGCCGAGGAATAAGAGTCTTATCTAGACAAACCATCGGTCATTTTCTAATAAAATCATATATACTTTTCAACCACAAATGCTCGTCTTGCACTAGCTGTGATGCGCCACACATTACGTAATCACGTTGGAAAGGTCAGGCGGTAACGTGACATAAGCGGAAAATGTAACTCCATCTCATTTTCTAGTCCAACTTCAAAATCGTCTGACATCTTTGGTTTACCTTTTTGTTTATTTTTAAATTCTTTTGTAAAGGGCGTTTGACTTGGTCTTTGCACGTTGGCTTTGTAAACACTAGGTCTGTACTTCTGCCTACGTCACGCGTGACCTTTCAACGTGATTATGTAATGTGTGGCGCATCACTGTGCTAGTGTAAGTTAAGTTGTCATTAAAAAGTATATAAATGTTTTTTTTTTAGAAAATAAGTGATGGTTTGTCTAGATCAGACTCTTACTCCTCGGCTGGATCGTGTCGAGACTTTGAAGCTGCACTGAAACTCACATCTGGACCTTCGACCCGTTGGACCCCATTGAAGTCACCATATGGAGAAAAATCCTTGAATGTTTCTCTCAAAAACCTTTATTTCTTTTCGACTGAAGAAAGAAAGACATGAACATCTTGGATGATGTGGGGAGAGTAAATAATCAGGATTTTTTTTATTCTGGAGTGAACTAATCCTTTAAAGCTTAATTTGCTAACTTTGATTATGCTACCTCTTAGGCTCAATCCCAATTCACCCCTTGCCCCTACCCCTTGTTTTCGAGTGTACCCCTTGGCCCTTAAAACAGAGTTACAAGGGCCAAGGGGTTAAAATATTACCCTACGAAATGGAACAACCCTTCATGAACCCGAAACGTCATCAGTCGTCGGCGATGGCTCTGCCGTTACAGAGTTTTTACAGGATTTCTCCATGACAACGACTGACAATCTTGACTTTTGCTGCTCTTAACTTTGAGGAAACATGATGCTTATAACGTTCCTTCCTCGAAATGTATGTCTTTTCTGTTTCGGAAAGGTAATTTATTATACAATTTCTTAATTTAAATGACTATATTATTATTATAAGAGTAAACAAAGTGCACGGTGGTGTCATCTGGCGCTAAATTTAAATGTTTAACCGTTTGCGAAGCCATCTCGCCGGTGATTCGCGATGTATTCTGCGAACTTTCTCGTAGCCTCTGAAAAATCTCAGTTTCGAGGGCTATGTAGCCCTACCCCTCAGCCCTAACCTCGATCTCAACAAGAATCGGGACACCCTACCCCTTGACGTGAACGCGCAAAACGGAGGGGCAAGGGGTGAATTGGGATTGAGCCTTAAGATGCTTTCTTTTCCAAGCATTGCACACATTATTTGCTGAGAAGACAAAAGCATTGCAATGAAATGTTGATTATCAAAACAATTCTTCAGCAAAAAGCAAATATTTCAATCTGACTGTTCTACCACATGTGCTTGATATGATATTTTAGCAACATCTTTAAGCCAAACTCTGGTGTGCTTTGTGTAAGGAGCGCTACATATTAGTACTTGATACCTACATAGGGCATTTAAAGTTGATCATTGGTATTGCTTCTGGGCTGGCTATTATGCAGTACAATTAACACTGAAAGTTTATAAGCAGATCACAAATGTCTAACCATATGGATTTAAAATCAATCGGGTTTTGGATGCTTGTCTTCTCATCAGCATAATAAATGCCTAAAACACAGCAGCCCATTGAGTGCTCATAACCAACCAGCATCTACTAAACATGTCCGATGGCATTGAGATAGGCCTCTCTGTGTTTTAAGTAGAACCCATTAACTTTCCATTCATTTTGCTATTAATGAGTCTCAAACCCACAGAAAAGAACTTGCTTTGAATTAATGTTCTATAACTAATATAGATTTTTAAAGGCTGGCTTTATGAGGTGGTGTGTTGATTAAGGGAGGAACTGCGGAGGCAGTTTAAAGGTTATTGATGTGTGCTTGAACAGTTTAAATTTTAACGCTGACTATTAGTGCTGGATTTTCATTTAAAGCTCAGACAAACCTGTGGAGAATTCTGGCGTCCTCGGTGGTTTTCACTTCTCATGTCTATGAACCATAAGATAAGTGCTAAGTGCTTAACCAATATTTGTTTACAGATTTGTTTAATTACCCAGGTGAGTTACATGGCATTTGATATCATGTGTACTAATCCATGCACACAGATTTATAATATAATTCATAATGTAGTACGTTAAAGCGAAATGATGAAAATGGCAAAGACAACAGCAGCTCCTATATTGGTGCTTCTTATCAGAGGAGAAATGATAGCACTCATATGTGTCAGTAGCTTTCAGTGTCACCGTTGTTCTCCACAAATAGGCATAGGAACTCCTGGCCTTGAGGTGCTGTGCCTTTATTTATAGATTTGAAAAGCATCTTCATGCATGAAACCGGCCTTTGCTAGGTTACTGAGATCAACACACCCTCTCCATGTCTTTCACTCAAACACGCACAGAGAAAAAGAGAGTAAACTACAATGCTAAATGAGTTACACACACTCCCACACACTCGTGTCGCTCTAAAACATGTGAAGTAAAGGCAGGGGGAGTCAGGGACTCTCAGAGCGTTACGTTCATTTATGTTTCAATCAATGCAACATTGTAGATCAGTGGTTTTCAATTGGTTTTGCTTCAGGGGGCAGATTTTACATCAAGGGGCGACCCAGCACAGTACTAAGTTTGTTTATGCAAAAGTAGGTAAAAATGTACTTGTAGATCATAGAGATGAATCTTTTAAAAGTACCTTTTCAGATGCCAATGCATGATTATATTATTAATTGCTAATCTCATTAGCATTCAGTGATCCTCTCCCTTCAGTGACGGGCTTGCAACCCTTTTTGGGGTTTTGACGCACCAGTTGAGAACCACTGACGTAGATTGTGACACTGTTGGGTTTATATGCTGTCGTGGTTTAATTCTCTATAATCTTTAATTACAGTTGTATCTATAATATATGACATCACTGAGTATTACACCTATAATCATGAGGTTTTAGTCTAGTATTATTCTTAATGTTTTGCAAAAACATAAATGCAGTGATTAACAACTTGGACTTTTTCCGTGATTACAGGTCTACACTAAAAGTACTGCATGATTTTGAGTTTTTGATCCCATTAAGGCAAAACATAAATTGCTGAGGTGAGACATGCATACAAATTTAGGGAATTTCCTTTTATCCTCTAGCTGTTTTAGAGGGTGTGTATGAGGTCACGTCAAAAGATAATGATCATCTTGAGGTTTTGTTTTTTGTGTTTTGCATCCTGTCTTCTGTGTATGAAAATGGACGTGATGGATGTGGAAGTGGGAAGCACACAGCACATTAACTCAGGTTTACATGAAAACTTAGTGATATGGGCCAACAATTCTGTTTCAAGCTGTTTTCAAATCATCGTAACTGAAGACACACACTGCACCAAATAGTAAATGAAATATGCCGTTTGATCACTGTTATGCCTTTGGCTTCCAGCTCATGCTACATTATGTTACACCCAAAACCATTCAGGAAAGGAAATGTAAAACAATCCGCTTTACAAACAAACTTCACTTCCCTTGGGCACAAACCCAGAATTAGTGACAGAATTAGCACTCCTGTGCAAAACTACTCACTCATCGACTCATTTACTATACGTGTATTGCATTATGTTTTATTTCGCAGGGGAATGTCATTCTTTTTTTGCTTATTATAAATGAATTAATACATTGGTAAAAAATAAAATCTAATAACTAATTCCCCAGTTTGATTTTGCTGCATTTTATTTGCATTTTCAGAAACCATGCAGCAAAGTTTCAATTATATTTCAGGATGCGTCTTTTTAAAAATAAAGCAATAAAAATAAAGTTAACAAACATCCTGAAATATAACTGAGATGAATTTAATTTGATTATTCTTACCACCATTTCCTGTTGCCCAAAAGACAACATAAAGCAAGTAAAAAGTGGCACATCTTACCCCCACGCGAATACGTTGATGGAATTCGATATCCACAGTATGTCATTTTACCACAGAAAGAAGAGAACATTGTGTCATTGAAATAAAAAATGATTGAAAGACAGAAAGCAAAAGCAATGTTGCGATGTGATAGACATTACGGAGCTCTTTTCGTTTCTTGGCTCTAAAATGGCAGCGTAATGTGAAATGCAGCTCACGAACTGATACGGCCCATATCTCACCGCAAAAACGTGTAACTCCAATATCATCTGACCGGTACAGCTATTGTAAACATTGACAGCCTGTCTCATAAATAATTTCTTTCTCTCCCTCTCTCCCCTTTGTCTTTCCTCTGTGTGTGTGTGTGTGTGTGTACATAACCGTGTTCATGTGTCTTTGTATGTACCTGCATGTCTGCGTGTCTGCGCCCATATTTCCCTCCATGTATCCAGGCATGACGTGTCAGGCGCGCAGCTCCTACCTGGACTCGGAAGTGCTGTGGGGCTACCGCTTCACCCCGGTGCTTTCCCTGGAAAAGGGCTTCTACGAAGTCGACTACAACAACTTTCACGACATATACGAGACCAACACCCCCACCTGTAGCGCTAAAGAACTGTCCGCTCGATTAAAAGAGAGCCCGCTCCTCCCTCACCTGCCTCTCCTCAGCCCCGACCTCAGGCAACACACGCCAGACCCCTTCTCCACCCAAACCTCGCGGGACGACACGGAGAAGGACGGCGAGAAGCCGGCGGAGACAAACAATGGCTCTGCCAACCGTTTAGAGGAGAACCCTTGAGGGAAACCCACAGACTCAAGGACTTTGTAGTGACTGGCAAGCTTCTTTCCCCTTGCATGGAGAGATATCCTTGCAAAATCCATGCAATACGACCCTCTAGAGAGCCGAGCTGATGTGTAGATCAAGGTTAGACGCACAAACCGATGAGAACCCGTATATTTATACCGCACACGTTATTGACGCCTACACATACTCGATTTTAGCTTTATCAACTTTGTCGTGCAGATTTTCATGGTATCGATCAACGCCCTGTACCTCAAGGACGAAATAGTAGCCATATATTGTACACATCAGTCCCACCGCAAAATGAACGACCGGGAGGTCAAACCTCTTAATCGAACCATAACAGAAAAGCAGCTTTAATAGAATCCCGATGCAAAGACTCTTACGAGAAATATGAAGCCAAACGCAACGCTTGTGTATTTAACCACGGCGAAGGCCCCCGGTGTTGGTTTCTTTAAGCTATTCTATTGTATGTTTTATCTGCATTATAATGATCAATTTCCCCTAAAGGCCTGTTCACACCAAGACAAATAACTATAAGGATAACTATATTAGCATCCACACATGTTCGGTTTATTATAAGCGCACGCGCAGTTATGTTGTTTGCGGCTTTAAAAGCGTGAGCTCTTTAAACTCAAGTGGATTCTGATTGGCTGTAAATGATTTGATCATTCATTACCTGGAAAAAAAGAGGATGATATTTTCATAATAGTTTTATAATAGTTATCGTCTTTGGTGTGAGCGGGCCTCTTACTGAAGTGCATTATTGCATGTGTTTCGGCTTGAATTTGAGACAATTTGAAGGCTGGGAAATGTTTGCTGGTGCACCCGACAAAAGCACAAGCGCTGCAGTGTGTAAACCTGCAGTACACTAAAATAACGGCGAAGAATGGAAATATTGCACATGGATTGTCTCTGTGAAGGATTGGTTGACCTGCTGAGTTCAGTCTTGCCCTGTCCGCACTCCTGGACTCATATTTTGTCTCTATCACATTTGATTTGTGTGCAAGTTTGAGGCCACGCGCGCGAGACTGTCAGTCCCGTTTCCAAGCGGTCCGAAGAACTGCTTTAAAGCATGAACCCTAACGCAAGTTCTATACACTTTCTGAACAGGGTATTTTCTATAAGGCATGCAGACTTCAAAAACACAAATGCTTTCTACAAAAATTGTACAACTAAATTATGGATGAAGGTGAGAGGAAAGCTCCACTTCCAGCAGAGACTTTACAGAAGAGGTTATCTGCAGTTTAGAGGGATCTCACCTGTGACCAGTCATTTTCACTGAATAATATTATATGCAGGCAATTTACATAAATAAAATGAATAAAGAAACTTATAATTGAAAACTGGTTTTGTTGTTTGTACATGGGGAATAAATTAAAACAATGCAAGATGCAATGTGTGTGGTTCAATTAGAGCAGTTGATAAATGATGATGATGATTTATAGGCGAGAATATTATTAACAAGTGGCTTTGAATATATACACTTTTTTTTCTTCCATATCATCGAACAGGACACACACATTTAGGTTCTTTGAGCTGTTTGTTTTTATATAATTTCCTGCCTTTTGTTGCAAGTCAAATTCAAGATTATCTGAATACATTTTCTTGAAGGTTTCAAATGTCAGGGCATGTGTGCTAATCACTTTTTTCATTCTTATTTATTCTTTTATTTATTACTTATTACCAACTTATGTTTGTTTGTTTGTTTGTTTGTTTGTTTGTGTAATGTATTCAGGACAAACAGACTACACTTTTTTTTTTTTTTACAGCAGATGCTGAGAGTTTTTCTGCTTGGCTCTGAGAAATTTTGTTCCCTTAATTATCTTTTTAACAATATGCTTTGTTCTGGCCATATGTTACGGTGCTCCTTCTGCCCACGTACATATGCATTATTCAAAGATGAGAGAAAATTAGTTATCTGCAGAAATTGGGTCACATAAAAGTTACTTACATTTCTCTAAATGTATCACACATCAAGTTCTTATGAGGAAAATGCCCTAGTGTGCGTGACACAGCCGACTGCGCTGGGAACACATATCAATTCATAATACCTCTGAGTTTAACTGGTGCTTACCCGGGCATGTTCCTCAACATCCGTCTTCATGCTCCCTGAAAGTTGCTTAGCGACAAATAAAATAGTTTAATAAGAACAACAACGGTTCAAATGCCAGACGGCTTACAGTTTTGTCACATAGGATCTAAAATAGGATGGTATTTCATCTCTTTGCACAATACAAGCGATATTGCCTGTGAAACTCAAATAAGCAGCGTAATCCCTCAGTAAAATGCATTTTTGCGTTTACATTGATTTTACCATTGTAGGAAAGCCTAAAATCCTCCAGACTGTGATATTTCTTTAATACATGTCCACAAAAGTTGTGTTTGTGGCCACATGATTAAAGACACCCATGTGTAATACACAGTTACGTATAGGGATGTCCTGAGCCGGTTGTTCAAGCATGTTTTAACTGATCGCTATCAGCTATCCAAGCCATTTTCCGTCAGCTGTCACCAGTGTTCATTTTGAGAGCAAATTTTTGAAAAATGTGCTCATCATCTTCCAGACATCGGTTCTGACTGGATCTCTTCCCAAACAGTCTTTCCTTTACATTTTTATCAACAGTGTCAAAAATGTCAATAGATTTTCGTCATAGTGTTTGTCAATCAAAACTGTTTTTTTTATTTAGTTATCGTCTCGTTTTATAGTTCATTAGCCTGCTGGTTACAGCTGTCAAAGCTGTTATACACCTCAAGCTCCTCACAAAGATTAAAAATGTCCGATTACTGTATTCCGGAAAATAAATCTTTAAGCGGCATTTAAACAAATGCAAAGAAATCGATTTTTTTATAGGCCTATATCAATTGTTTGATCAATTCAAGCGTAACTTTTTTTGTGAGTGGAATGCTTGTTATCTTTCTTTAAAATAAATAGCATGGTTGGACATTTTGTTATGTAATGCATAAGATTTGTAAATGTGACTTAAGTGTGTAAATAGCTTTTGGAGACATACAGTCCTCTGGAAGTGATGTTCACCCAACAAATAGGCCTTTATACTCCAGCTGGACTGAGAACAGGGCCACCATACATATGTCCGCTGGTTTTCAGAGGTATATATTTATATGAAAACAGGCGGTCCAATGGCGTCAGGATGTACGTATTTATACAACAATATGGATTTGTATACATGGATACGTCACAGGAACATGCTGGTCTTCCTTTCTCTTCTCATTGTTTCAAAACAAATATCGATGACAGCGACTATAGGGCTGTTCCCAATTCCCAGTCCATTACCATATTTGGCCATGAGAAACGGATAATGAATACTCCTGAATAACATAAATAATATTCATTCAATTGATTATAGAATTAGCAATATCGAAACATTATGTCCAATAGAAATGATATTTTCCTTGTAAACTCCTAACATGCAACACTTTGAAATGTCTTTTCTAAGAGGATTCGAATGAAAAGAAAGAGCACAGACTGTTGTGTAGTCAAGAAGTCACGCACTATTAAGAAATGCAATGAAACGCAGAGAACAGACTTGTTAGTGCTGTTTGTTTGTGCAAATTTAAGATGGCAAGGGAGAGAAATGCACCGCCGAGAGCCAGCGGTTCTGCATCGGATTGAGAGAGAAAATATCTGGGATATTGTATACAAAGTCAGCTTCTCACGACTGAGGCTTCTTCACACCTGCAGTTAACATGCATTCACAATGATTGGATCACAGTCAAACGGCACTTGACCTCGGTAAAAGTCAGATTCGGTGTAAAAGACACATCACTAAAACACATTCGCTGGTGGTCATGGATGGATTCTGTCCACATTTGAAGTAGATGCTAATGTGTTTTTCTTAATCATGCAGAGATGTGCAAGCAATGGGCCGATATGTGAGCAGCTTTTGTATCTGATTTAATTCTGACATAAAAGAGTAGCCTATAAAGGTCTTAGGGAATGTAATTCCGTTGTCTGTTTCATCACAATATTAATTATACATCTCAGCTGCAATTACATGCATGCATTTGCCAGACATTTTTATCCAACATAATTTACAGTGCTGATTTTTTTATCCGCATTGGTGTTCCCGATTGGTTTCTCTATCAGAGATTTGCAGGATCAGTCTAGTATGCATCAAATCATCATGTGTTAGACTTATACAACAGTCCTAGATCAAATCCCTTGGTCAAGTCTAACCCTCCCACATTGGAAAGTTTCTTCTGCAGTCCTCCAGACATTTCTGATGCTGAGATCTATTTGAGAGTCTTACAGTAAAGCAACCATTGTTTTCCAAGAGCTCAGAAAACAAGGCATTCAAGAGATTTCAGCCAGTTATTATAGACAAACATCAAAACTGATCATCCACTATTTGCTCAAGTGTCAAAAATGAAAATTTCATTTAAAAGATGTGCATTCAATGCGCCGTTCTTCTTGAATGGCATTTGTGGTCGAGAGTAGAAAGGCAAGCAAAACAGTCATTTAATCTCTTTCACTCTTTATGGAAATGCAAGGTTTATTCATGTAGTGAGACTCTACACACATACACACACATACATTATATATATATAGAGAGAGAGAGAGAGATTTTGAAAATAATGTTTAATATATTTACACTCACACAAGGTGTAGAACAAATGTTACACTCTAAAAATGCTGGGTTGTTTCAACCCAAATATGGGTCAAATATGGACAAACTCAAATGTTGGGTTAAAAATGTAATTAAAAAATTTACAGTTGAAAGTGAAAGTTGAAGTTGGGTTAAATTTGAAATTACATTTTTAACCCAACATTTGGGTTTGTCCATATTTGACCCAAATTTGTGTTAAAACAACCCAGCATCGTTTGGAGTGTATAAATACATTTCACTTGACGCCGCTTACACCACATGGCATTCATTTCACTCCATTTCACTTACTCGCTTTACATTTAGACTTGTTGTCAGTGAATCTCCAACACATCATTATGATGCAGCGAGGATGTGTTTGTTCTGGATGAGCATTTATAAGTTTATCTACGGAGGACACCCACTGCAGTTTCCTGCTGGAACATGATTTCTCAGTCTTATCACGGACAACATGCGTTTGTAAGGCCACATCTGTACAGAGAAGCTGCTAACAGAGATCTGGTGCTCTTTCTCTGGTCCCAGGTCTGTTCTGATAGCATTAAAAAACATGCTTGATGCAAACAATACAGTTTATATAACAGCGCACAGATTGACTGGATTAAAATCCTAAACCATTGAAATAAAGACTGTGCTCATCTGAACATCCATTATGGTTAATTGAGTGTTGAAAGAGACAGGTACTCTTCAATCTGACTGCCAAAATTGATGGATTTCAAGCACCACAGAATTATGCAACATTTCCATCCATGAGTTGATCCGTCGCAGAGATGGTTTTCACACTGTGCAGAGGACAAAAGCATCTGTGGAAAATGGCTGCACTAAACA